GTGGCACCCACATGACCTTAAGACTGATATATAATTTCCAAGACTCACAAACATTGACAGTTAATAAAATGAAAAGGGGGAAAAATGGGACCAGTGGGAGAATTGCTGACATTTTATTTTGGAGGTAAGAACACAACAAATGAGCCTATAAAATAGCATAATCTTCTATCATCTAGATTCCATAAGGGAAAATCCTAGCCATCCTGTTTGTCACAAGGAAGAAGAAGGACATCCCAGACAGATAAACTTAGCTTGGGAAAAATGTTTCTTAGTTCCCTGGAAACTGATGAAAACATCACAGAACTAGGAGCATCATGGCATGGCCTCAATTTACAGGAACCCAATGAGGCAGAGAGACATGCCCAGGATACAGACCGAGGAAGCACATCTGTACGGGAGTGTAGGGTAGAAGCAGGAGTCTAGGCTCTGCTCTCATGAACTAGCCCTGGAGCCACACTTTCTTACAGTTCCATTTTTCTAAAATGGGGACGTGGGATCATGATAGTCATCTACCCATGAAGAAAAGTGTGAGACACTAACGAAAGAAAAGCTTCAATTTTGTCTCAGATATTGCATGGAGTAGTTTGAGGGAGTAACCGTCTCCATGTCTGGAATTCACTTGAAAATATTTCAGCCAAATAAATAAATGTGACACTGTAACAGCAATAGTAATATCTGAAAACTTTCAAAGCAAGCTTTCAATAGTAATACAACAACAACAACAACAATAATAATATTGGACTCTAGCGAGGCAAGTTGAAGGGATAGCATTACTTACTGAGAAAAAGTCCTCGGGGAGGTCTGATCCCCAAGAGTGTAGCTACCCAGTCTTCACCAGCCTTGGGCAGACAGAGCCAGGGTCAGGAAGTGATTCTGGTTTTCTTTCTTCCTCCCCAAGTGAGCCAGGTGCTCTGGCTGGGTGAGGGGAGCCTCCTGCCCCTTCTCAAGGCAAGTCAACAATGTGACGGTGACCCAACCCTGCTAGGGCCCAGTGGCTGCTTAGCACAGCCAACCAGCATGGGGGGCTTATGAATATGCAAATTAGAGCCCCCGAGCTGGTTGGCTGACCCCCCCGTCATTTCCCACCCCCATGGCAAATCGGGTTCTCTGAAAGACAGCCTCAGAGGGTTTCTTCAAAAGCCATCTTTTCCATCCTTGTTAAGAATTCTTGAAGCAATCTATGAAAATTTGGAGCGTGGATGGCTCAGCTCTTCTCCCTGCTCGTACGTCGGCTCCTGACCTCTGACTCCAAGTTGCGTGGTGAGACACCTCCAAAAAGATCGTCTTTCTTCAGACCCCCCCCCCCCCCCCAGCACCCTCAGGAGCCTGAATTCTACCTCACGCCAAAATCTTGCGCCTCAGATCTCAGGAAGAATAGGCTGCAAGGCCTGCACGCGCAGTAGAAGTTGGAACATGAGAAGGCGATTGGGCCCATCGCTGATAGAGTTGAGGGGAACCGACCTATACCAAAAACATCACCCAGAATTTTCCTTTTTTTTTTTTTTTTTCTCAACTTCAACCTGGGAGGTGAAGTGAATGTCGTAAAATGCAGCAATAAAAATCAGTGCACCAGGCTGTAAAGATGGCGCCACGGTTAATACAGTTTGCTACTCTTCCAGAAGTCCCGTGTTCCATCCCTAAATAATACTGTAAATCTTAAAAAAAAAAAAAAAGAGATAGTCAATGCACTATTGCTCATTTTATCTACATAAATTAATTCTCAACTTAAGGAAAATGTAGAATGAAAAAATCAGTATAGTATAGTACAGTATAGTACAAGGACTGTAAATCTATTTCTATTAAGTGCAAAAATAGTCCCCCCAAAAGAGATTCACTATAGATAAATCTAGTTATTATTTTAAATTATAATTGTGTATATCAATAGATGAAATCTGAGCTATATTCCCAGTCTATTCTCCTTTTTGAGAAAGGATCCTACTACATTGCCCAGGCTGGCCTTGAATTCATAACCTTCTTACCTTGACCTTAATCTTTGGATTAATAAACATGTGTGAACATGCCCAGACTAAGACTGTAACAAAGATGAAGTTGGGTGATCACTAAAACTCCAGGAGATATGCTTGCCACATTAAACCTAAGCTTGAGCTTCTAAACTTCAGAGAAGAATCTCAAACATTAATAATAAAAACCATGAGGAAAAATCATGTCACTCTGGGCGGGGAGGCTAGGGTGTAGTCTCCTCAGCATGCATGAAGCAATAGCTTCAGCCCACAGCACAAAACCAAAAGAGGATTAAGCAGCTATCTAAGAAATGCTAGCAGCAACCTCAGCAGCTAGAGATGAACACATCTCCTGGCCACTGCTCTTGTATTCCTCAACAGTGCCGTGAGCACGGAAGTAGGCAGTCATTTCTCAGTTACTTAGTGGATAGCCACTCACTGCACTTTGAGCATTGACGATTCAGAAAAAGAGTGGCCTCTTCGCTTCCCCTTGCTTAGTCAATAGAGTTGACAGGGTTGTTGGTTTTGCGCTTTGTTTTAATTTTGTTATTTTTAATTACGTTTGTCTGCTCTGGAGGGACGTGCAGGTGTCCATGGAGCCGGAGGAGTTCAGTCCTCTGGAACTGGAGGTAGAGGTGGTTGTGAGCTACCTGATGTGGGCGCCAGGGACATTAACTCTGGTCCTCTGGAAGCTAACCACAGATCCACTTCTCCATCCCCAAGACAGACATCTCTGAACAAGTCATTACAGTATAATGCACTGTAGTGACACAGACACACCTCTTTGGAATATGAAGTACCGGCTCACTCTGCCCGAGCGGAATAGGAAAAGAATCGGGGAGAGATTTAAAGGGGATTAAAGTCCCCTGATAAATAGAAAGGAACAGCACACACAAAGATGTGGGATGAATTGTGCCACCCTCCATGGCCAGCAGTGGATTACGGCTAATGCTCAGCAGCTGTTAAAATGAGGGCGAAGATCAGGACCCAGCAGCCAGATTATCAGGTGCTCGGACTACTTGAAGAGCCTGAGCTTTATAGATAGGCAGAAGCAGCTGGAAGACTTTAAGCAGGGGAGTGGCAGGATTAACTCTGTACTTTAGACAGATCTTTGACAGAGAGGTGTGAAGGCAGTGTGGAGAAAGTGAAAGTGGAGACTTAAACCTGTTTAGGAAGCTTTAGCACTAACCAGATGAAGGACAGTGCAGGCCCAATTATGAGCAGCAGCTGAGAATGGGTGATTTCTCTGTTTCTCGTTAGGGATTGTGTCCAATGCTCTAAGGTTCCAGTGGCATTGTCTCCAGGATTTGGTGAGTGAAGGGTGTGAGAATTAGGCAAGATAACTCAAGCAAAAGAAGCCAACATCAACGGGCACTAAGTGGTTTGTTCCTTTGTTTATACATAATTTTTATTCAACTGAAGCTCATGGAATACCTCTTCTGTTAGGAAATCAGGCTTAAAGGCCTAGGGATTTAAGAGCAAGCAGATGAGGAGGAGGAAGGGATGCGATGTGCTTTCAATGTAAGGCAATGGGCAGAGTGGTATACCCAAAACCGGGGAGTATCCCAGATGCCAATGGGATATGGCAGTGAACAAAACAATATAACCCCATAAGATTAGTATGTTATAGTCTCAGAGTTGGGTAACAACTTCCAGAATGCACAAGATGGGTGGAGAAAACTTGGCTTGGCTGGAGAGTTTGCTCGGGGCTGGAGAAGATCAGACGAAGCACAGCGAGGCTAGCTGGTGAAGTCTTATAGTCCTTTAAAACAGTTCCTCATGTTGGGGCGACCCCTACCATAAAGTTCATTAGCCCCTCCAAAGGATGGCGACCCACAAGTTGAGAACCGCTGTCTTGAAGACACATGAAAGAGCCCTTGCCACGTTCCTCTGGGGAGCCAAGAAGACAGGGCAATGAAAAGTGCGTGTATATACTTATGGAGCTCCAGGCTCAGAGAGGCGCTGTCACCTTCCCGAGTCCACAGGAGCCCAACACCGGCTGAGATCCGAGTTCGTAGCCCATGCCCTCCGGTCGTTCTCGTCCTAGAGTGCAGAATGACCTGGGGGCCCCAACACAAAAGGGCGCCAAACAGAACCAGCTCTGAGGGGAAAAAGTAGGGCAGGCTTGAACCCTGAGTCCCTCCGGTATCCGGATGCTTGTCCTCGAAGAGCACGAACCCAAGCTGGCCCGCTGTGGATGGCGCCACAGATCCCCAGCGCTGGGACTGCTAATTACCAGCGGCCCGGCTCACACAGCCCGTCCACTCCACCCTGCTTAGTGGTTCGCTCCGAACACCCCTCGCTGCACGGCGGGTGCCGCGGCCTGTCTCACTTCCGGTTGTTGCCGGGCCCTATATCCGGTGTCCGCCCGCCCTCCATCCCGCTGCCTCCGCGATGCTGTCCCGGTCCCGCTGCGTGTCCCGGGCGTTCAGCCGCTCGCTTTCTGCCTTCCAGAAGGTACTGTCTGGCGGGGCCTGGTCTCCGGCGGGTGCGGAACCTGGCGGCGGGCGGACGGGCGGGCTGAAGGGCAGGGGCGCCGTGCGCCGGCCAGGCCGGGCACCAAGGGCACCGGGACGCAGAGGCAGCCGACGCCCTCGGAACCGCCCAGCCGCGTGTGCGGAGCCCGTCCTCTCCCTGGCAGCCCGCGCCGGCCGTTTCCCGCTGTCCCCGACCCTTAACTGCGGGGCTGGGAGCCGCGCCCGCCGCGACATTGACTCAGAACTGAAGAGGAGGCACGGCCCCCAACCAAATCCCGCGGCCTGACTCCGCGCTGTCTCAAAACCAGCGCGTGTCACTCTCGTGGGGGAGGTTGGCGTAGTTTGGCCGACCCGGTGCTTTGCATTTACCTTCGGAGTTAACGAGATTTCACCTGTCAGCAGCACGTTAAACGTGCACTTAAAAAAAAAAAAAAAAA